TACCATCTATGTCCATTATTACCTTCTAATGTAACACAAAGATAAATGTCAATACAATGAAGAACTAATCATATTTAATCTATAAATCTTATACATTGAATGTGAATAAAAAGGGGTTAATCATTTTGACAATAATTACCTTGGTAACTTAAGTTAATGAATGTATTTTGTTTATTTCTAATCATTGTACTGAAGTTTGTAGGAGACTATAGATTAGTACATTGTATATGTGTTGGGTTGGCCTCCGGAGAACTTCAACGGAGCCTCCAGAGGACCAAAAGGAGCCGAAGAGTCCTAGCCAATCAGAGTATGATGAAACGTTCGAGAATTCCAGCGTGGCGTACTATCATTGGTCGGTAGCATAATATAACGTTAACGAATTGGCTGAAATATGATGTTGATTTAACAGACGCCAACATCTATAAATACCGTTGATTTTCTGTACAAAAATGAACCTTGGAATAAAGTGTTTTCTCTCATTCTTGTGTCTTCTCTCTGGAGTTCAAGTCGCTGTGTACTTCTAGACTGCGGGTTACCGGGTTAGCTTAGGAATCGTATATAGCGTTCAACCTACACGACTTATCAATATGATAATTACTTTTTCATTCATCATGTCAGACAGTCAGTCAGTCGGCTACAACGTAGGACCAGGCACATATATGCATCGGTTCAAGTTGCCATACCTCACTCATTAGCACAACGAGATGAACAGCGTATTCATAGAAGTAGTTAATTCAGAGGTGGTAATATATAAAAGAAAGATTTAATATGAGAACATAATACATGAAGAAAGAATTAGTTCATAGAAAGAATGATGTGAAGCGATTTTAAACTCATAGTTCAAGGGAAGACAGAGAGTGTATACACAGACGCAATTGTGATCGATTCTCATCCATGTCACACAGAGTCTCCAATCATTGATTATAACAGTCACGTGGACCCTAATCAAGTAGTCTGCATCTATCAACATGTTTCAGACTAGAAGTAAGTGACTTCAAGTACTGATGCCACGTTCTGGTTTGTCCGACCCTAACTTTCTTTCAACCATCTTCAACACTAGTCAGCATTACGCGTCGTGGTAATCGGAGTTCAAGCAAACGTAACACGTGGCCCAACGATCTTAGTCGATGAAGATTCACAACCTCATCAATTGATTTACCATCATTCTCTAATGCCCTGAATCTAACCTCGCTATGACTTACCCGTTGATCCAAGAAGATGCGAGCTATCATTCTAAGGCATCTGTGGTCGAATAGTAGTAGCTTACGAGTATCTTCTACTCATAATGGCCAAATTTCGCAGCCGTAATATAGAACAAAACGAACTGCCGCACAAAATACTCATCCCTTAATTGGTAGAAGGATATCTCGCCTTCGCCATAGCTGACGTAAGTTGAAAATAGCCAAACGAGCTTTTCGATTCCGTGCTGAGATTTTGTGAGACACCAACGCATTATAGCTGGTCAGACTTCCAAGATAAATGAAGTCGTCAACGCGTTCGACTACTTCACTCCGTATCATTAGTTCAGCTGTTGACGTAGGCCAGTCATAGAGCAACAATTCGCATTTAGCGGAAGAGTTATTCATCACGAGTGGAATTTCTCACATATTCTCTCAGTGATTGTATAATGGGCAATAAATCAACATGACCTGTAAAATTTGAATTCAATTATCGTTTGTTTAAGTTTCAAAAGAATCTTATTTTGGTAGAAAATCGTCCACATCATTACGGAATTCAGATGTCGGAATACAGTGCAAAGTCATTCATGAAGAACATATGACAGACGTATTCCAAGTAAAGAACGTAGTCAGACAAGGGTGCTTACTCCCTCCCTTCCTCTTTCTTCTAGTGGTCGATTGGATTATGAAGACCTCGATATCTGATAGGAAACACGGAATACAATGGATAGCTCAAAAGCAATTAGAAGATTCGAACTCCGAAGATGACCTGGCCCTTTTGCCGCATACTCACGAACAAATGCAAATGGGGACAACTAGTGTAGCAGCAGTCTTTGCATTAGTACGCCTTAACACAAACAAAGTAAAAACCCAAGATCCTTATATACAACACAGAGAACACCAACCAATTCACATTTGAAGAAGAAACTGTGGAAGAAGTGGAATCCTTCACGTGTCTGGGATTGGTCAGGACAAAGTTAGGTGGAGAATGGTGGTGGACAGTCTATGCTCCTCCACGAGGGGTAACAGGAGTAACTAAGTAAGTATGTTAATTTTACTTAATATTCTGTATATAAGCACTACTCATATTTCACTGACCACTTATTCCGTCTTCAAATATACCATCATTAAAAGTTAGGATCAGTGAATTTGAAAGTTTCATCAGATCACAATCAGTTCATATGATCAATCAATCAATCAACTGTTTATGTTATATAAAGTAACTTATCCCTTATCAAAAACACATATAGATGTGAAGAGAAGGTTTACTTTGTTTTTCTTCTCAAATGTATGGGAAATATAAAACCACACATACACACACAAACACACAATATACTTTATAATCAAATTGATTTGTGCAAAAAGAGATTACAACTACTACCCTTGAAGGGGTTTTACAACAGAAATCTTTTAAACACAAACATTCATTTAAACATAATAATGAAGTGAATCTATCAATAATCCGTTTAGGTTATATGGTACAAAGAAGAGAATCCCGATCAGGTTGTATGCATAATCTAAGAATAAAATAAACTTATCTATGGTCAAACTGATCTTTTGTATAATAGACCAAAAAACATAGCCATCGAAACTGAAAACAACTGGAAAGGATTGTCCAGGACAGAGTTAGATAAAGAATCCCTTGCAGAGTCGGCTATGCTCCTACATGAAGGCTAACAGATGTAAGTATATAATAGCAGGCCAGTTCACAGTACTTAAATTATTCATTGTTCACAAGAAGAAGTCTAAAGTACAATCACACTGTGACGCAACAAGGAAAATTACAAAGTGAATCTGCTTTACTTTTGATGTAGATTTTATTTAAAACAAAATTTATTTATCAGTATAGGGTTTTAGAGAATATTACGTTTTTGATTGAGATCATGAACCGATTGATGTTAGACCATCATTGAAAACCTGGAAGCAATGGATGGCCGTTTCGTCCTATTGTAGGACTCCCCAGTAGTGCGCATCCACGATTCCACTCGCGGGATTCGAACCCAGGGAGTTCAGTCTCGCACGCGAACACCAATCCGTGTCAGGTAGAGACAGGTATTTACCTCAGTACAATGCAAGATGGTCGTGCAATTTCGTGGATTGGTTGAGGTTAGATATTAACACCGTTAGATGCCGGTCGGCTCAGTGGTCTAGAGGTTAAGCAGTGAGAACTACATGCGGTGAAATAATAAATATTACTTAACTATTCATAATGTTACTCATTCTTAACACAACTTGATAGAAGTGGAACTAATCAAGAGGTATGGAAGAAAATAATTTATAGGTCAGATATGAAGAACGACAAACATAAAGATCATAACAATAAACCAAGTAAACTGAGGTGGAACCATTTAAGTTAGTCCAGGGAACTGTTTTAAAAGTGGATCTTGATAATTTTTATCAGTTAAAATGTAATTATGTATCAACTACATGGTAATGGTTAATTTTTTATATCAAAATAATTTTGAACTACTCATCAATGAAGATGAACACAACTAAGATTTGGAACAACTGTTATTGTCTATACAGTTCTACTTACTGCATCTGACAGAAATTTAGAGAACTACGAAAGCCATCATCTAGAAGATACAAATGTTTACTAACAGTTGTATAAGCAAAATACTTCGGATCCGTTAGCCAGATACTATCAGCAACAACCTACTGTGGGAGAAAACAAACCAGATTCCAGTGGAGGAAGAAATCAGAAAGGAGAGCTGGAAATGCGTAGAACACACATTGAGCAAAACACCCAACTGTGTCACAAGGCAAGCCCTCACATGGAATCCTCAAGGCCAAAGGAGACGAGGAAGACCAAGGAACATATTACACTGAGAAACGGAAACAGACATACATGAGAAGAATGGACAACAATTGGATAGAACTAGAAAGGAAGGCTCAAGACAGAATGGGATGGAGAATACTGGTCTGCGACCTATGCTCCATTGGGGGTAACTGTTGTGGTGATCCGGCAAATTTCTCGCAAGAGACAAGCAAGAATCAGGAAATACTAAGAAGCGTTTCCTCCAATCAGCGTTCACTCGAAGTTTTAGCCAAAAATATCAAGGGGGCGAAACGTCACATGCAGATGCTTTGATTAGCTGATTGCTACACTGCTACTATGTTTAGTAGCATTCCAGAATCTTTGAGCAACCCAAGGACATCTGAAAATATTATAAAAACCTTATATTTTCTGTGTTAAAATAAACCTTGGAGTAAACTACTTCTTGCATGCTTTGAGTCTTCTCTCTCGTGTTCAGATCGCTGTATAGTTCTAGCTTAGGGGTTACAGAATAGCTTACGAGGCGAATATAGCGTTCAATCCGCAAGACTTATCAGTAACAGGCGTAAGTAAGTAAGTGGGTATAGACAAAACTTACTTACTTATCTACATCTGTAACCCCCTCGTAGAGGAGCATAAGCTTTTATTGTTTATCAACTAATCTCATTACGACAATGAAAGTTAAATCAATTGAATCATTCAAAGAATATTCGATAAACAATTCACTGATGATTCTTTTTAAATGTTAATCAAATTAGATTTAATTTAATTTCACTTAAAGATAAATTTGTTTGTTCTAATTGAATTGAATAAATCCAAGTTTGTTTGTTTGCTTCATTGTTTATTTGTTTATGATGATGATGATGATGATGATGATGATGATGATGATGATGATGATGATGATGATGATGATGATGATGATGATGATGATGATGATGATGATGATGATGATGATGATGATGATGATGATGATGATGATGATGATGATGATGATGATGATGATGATGATGATGATGATGATGATGATGATGATGATGATGATGATGATGATGATGATGATGATGATGATGATGATGATGATGATGATGATGATGATGATGATGATGATGATGATGATGATGATGATGATGATGATGATGATGATGATGATGATGATGATGATGATGATGATGATGATGATGATGATGATGATGATGATGATGATGATGATGATGATGATGATGATGATGATGATGATGATGATGATGATGATGATGATGATGATGATGATGATGATGATGATGATGATGATGATGATGATGATGATGATGATGATGATGATGATGATGATGATGATGATGATGATGATGATGATGATGATGATGATGATGATGATGATGATGATGATGATGATGATGATGATGATGATGATGATGATGATGATGATGATGATGATGATGATGATGATGATGATGATGATGATGATGATGATGATGATGATGATGATGATGATGATGATGATGATGATGATGATGATGATGATGATGATGATGATGATGATGATGATGATGATGATGATGATGATGATGATGATGATGATGATGATGATGATGATGATGATGATGATGATGATGATGATGATGATGATGATGATGATGATGATGATGATGATGATGATGATGATGATGATGATGATGATGATGATGATGATGATGATGATGATGATGATGATGATGATGATGATGATGATGATGATGATGATGATGATGATGATGATGATGATGATGATGATGATGATGATGATGATGATGATGATGATGATGATGATGATGATGATGATGATGATGATGATGATGATGATGATGATGATGATGATGATGATGATGATGATGATGATGATGATGATGATGATGATGATGATGATGATGATGATGATGATGATGATGATGATGATGATGATGATGATGATGATGATGATGATGATGATGATGATGATGATGATGATGATGATGATGATGATGATGATGATGATGATGATGATGATGATGATGATGATGATGATGATGATGATGATGATGATGATGATGATGATGATGATGATGATGATGATGATGATGATGATGATGATGATGATGATGATGATGATGATGATGATGATGATGATGATGATGATGATGATGATGATGATGATGATGATGATGATGATGATGATGATGATGATGATGATGATGATGATGATGATGATGATGATGATGATGATGATGATGATGATGATGATGATGATGATGATGATGATGATGATGATGATGATGATGATGATGATGATGATGATGATGATGATGATGATGATGATGATGATGATGATGATGATGATGATGATGATGATGATGATGATGATGATGATGATGATGATGATGATGATGATGATGATGATGATGATGATGATGATGATGATGATGATGATGATGATGATGATGATGATGATGATGATGATGATGATGATGATGATGATGATGATGATGATGATGATGATGATGATGATGATGATGATGATGATGATGATGATGATGATGATGATGATGATGATGATGATGATGATGATGATGATGATGATGATGATGATGATGATGATGATGATGATGATGATGATGATGATGATGATGATGATGATGATGATGATGATGATGATGATGATGATGATGATGATGATGATGATGATGATGATGATGATGATGATGATGATGATGATGATGATGATGATGATGATGATGATGATGATGATGATGATGATGATGATGATGATGATGATGATGATGATGATGATGATGATGATGATGATGATGATGATGATGATGATGATGATGATGATGATGATGATGATGATGATGATGATGATGATGATGATGATGATGATGATGATGATGATGATGATGATGATGATGATGATGATGATGATGATGATGATGATGATGATGATGATGATGATGATGATGATGATGATGATGATGATGATGATGATGATGATGATGATGATGATGATGATGATGATGATGATGATGATGATGATGATGATGATGATGATGATGATGATGATGATGATGATGATGATGATGATGATGATGATGATGATGATGATGATGATGATGATGATGATGATGATGATGATGATGATGATGATGATGATGATGATGATGATGATGATGATGATGATGATGATGATGATGATGATGATGATGATGATGATGATGATGATGATGATGATGATGATGATGATGATGATGATGATGATGATGATGATGATGATGATGATGATGATGATGATGATGATGATGATGATGATGATGATGATGATGATGATGATGATGATGATGATGATGATGATGATGATGATGATGATGATGATGATGATGATGATGATGATGATGATGATGATGATGATGATGATGATGATGATGATGATGATGATGATGATGATGATGATGATGATGATGATGATGATGATGATGATGATGATGATGATGATGATGATGATGATGATGATGATGATGATGATGATGATGATGATGATGATGATGATGATGATGATGATGATGATGATGATGATGATGATGATGATGATGATGATGATGATGATGATGATGATGATGATGATGATGATGATGATGATGATGATGATGATGATGATGATGATGATGATGATGATGATGATGATGATGATGATGATGATGATGATGATGATGATGATGATGATGATGATGATGATGATGATGATGATGATGATGATGATGATGATGATGATGATGATGATGATGATGATGATGATGATGATGATGATGATGATGATGATGATGATGATGATGATGATGATGATGATGATGATGATGATGATGATGATGATGATGATGATGATGATGATGATGATGATGATGATGATGATGATGATGATGATGATGATGATGATGATGATGATGATGATGATGATGATGATGATGATGATGATGATGATGATGATGATGATGATGATGATGATGATGATGATGATGATGATGATGATGATGATGATGATGATGATGATGATGATGATGATGATGATGATGATGATGATGATGATGATGATGATGATGATGATGATGATGATGATGATGATGATGATGATGATGATGATGATGATGATGATGATGATGATGATGATGATGATGATGATGATGATGATGATGATGATGATGATGATGATGATGATGATGATGATGATGATGATGATGATGATGATGATGATGATGATGATGATGATGATGATGATGATGATGATGATGATGATGATGATGATGATGATGATGATGATGATGATGATGATGATGATGATGATGATGATGATGATGATGATGATGATGATGATGATGATGATGATGATGATGATGATGATGATGATGATGATGATGATGATGATGATGATGATGATGATGATGATGATGATGATGATGATGATGATGATGATGATGATGATGATGATGATGATGATGATGATGATGATGATGATGATGATGATGATGATGATGATGATGATGATGATGATGATGATGATGATGATGATGATGATGATGATGATGATGATGATGATGATTTGATTATTCAATCAAGTATAATTATCAGATATAATAATCATTAGAAGGCTAAATGCTGTCAATCAATATCAAAGTGAGAATCTTCAATATGGATGTGAAGATAGTCCTTACTGTATTGAACTAGATGTCTACACAACATATTCAACATCCATTAGCCGGATACCGTCAGTAACAGTATTCTATGGGAGAGAACAAATTAGCTTCCAATTGAAGAGGATATTAGTAAAAGACGTTGGAAATGGTTAGGATAAATATTATGAAAATCACCAAACTGCATTACAAGTTAAACGTTAATTTGAAACTCTGAAGAGAAGCGGAAAAGTGAAAGACCAGAGACTACACTATGTCAATAAATTGGAAATATACATGAAAAGGATGAATAACAACTGGAAAGAATTATCCAAGACAGAGTTAGCTGAAAAATACTTGTGAGCGGTCTATGCTCATCCATGATTTAGTAACAGGCGTAGGTAAGTAAGCCAAATAACTATATTATTAATGAAACTATTCATTTCAAAACACTCAACTATTTGGACTTATGTTCAATAGAAAGCTATTTCAATTGTTTCATTCAATACTTCGCATTGAGAAAATTCATCTTAAAAGTATAAAAGAGGAAAATTTTATTCTACCGGTTATTACAACGTTACGTAATTTCATGTCAGTCTATAATAAAGAGTACAGTTGATAATACCTTAAATGATTTAATGTATATTAATCAAGGAATGCTTAATCCATTTGGCTACAATAATTTACTAAAGTTCTACATATTATCGAACTATTAATTTAGAGAGTTGAAATCATGAGTCAATTGAAGCTAGACCATCATGGAAAACATAGAAGCACTGAACGGCCGTTTTGTCCTATTGTGGGACTCCTCGGCTACGATTCCGCCTCGTGAGATTCAAATCCAGGACCTATCGGTCTCGTGCACGAACCCTTAACCACTGGATCACTGAGCCGGCAGGTATCCAACAGTGTTAATGTATAACTTCAACTAATCCACGAAATTGAGTGACACATCTACCCGATTGAACTGCACTGGTCACTGTTTATCACTAAAACTCTAGGAAATACCTATTGAAGCCAGTCACTAGTGAGTATATGTAAGAACTCTTATTTATATCATATATATATATATATATATATATATATATATAAGTAAAATCTAGCGAGGCGGGGTCATGGATGAGCACTGCTGAGGAGTTCCATAATACGACGAAACAGTAGTCCAGCACTTCCATGTTTTCGATGATGGTCTAGCTTCAACTGACTCATGATCTCAACTATTACCAATTACTATAATAATCACAAAAAGCCTCTTCTGATACTAATCAATTTATGCTCACTAGTGACTGACTTCAATAGGTATTTCATCGAGTTTTAGTGAGAAGCAGTGACTAGTGGAGTTCAACCGGTTCTATTGTGAGATAGTAACTCACTGAAAACAATGGTGGATGTGTCACTCAATTTCGTGGATTAGTTGAAGTTAGACATAACATTGATGGATGCCGGCCGTCTCAGTGATCTAGAGGTTAAGCGTTTGCGCGCGTGACCAATAGTTCCTGAGTTCGAATATCTTTTGTGGGAGATCGTCGATGCGCACTGTTAAGGAGTCCCATAATAAAACGAAACAGCCATCCGTTTCTTCCACGTTTAACTTCAATT